GACATGTAGATGTGGCACATGGGGACATGGGTTAGTGCTGGGCTTGGCACTGCTGGGGGAGCAGCTGGGCTCGATGATCTTAGAGGGCTGTTCCAACCTAAATGATTCTGTGGATCTACAAAAAGCTCCTTGACTCAGTGTCCCAGCTGGCCTGGTGCTCACACTGGCACAGGCATCAAGCTGGCCAGGCACAGCTCTGCTTTCCCTCTCTGTTTCTCCAGAGCTGCCTGCACAAGCTGCCTGCCCAATTAGCCATCCTACCCCAGCCACTGAATGAGATGGAAATACAGCTAGGCAGTGAATCCAAACAGCACTGCCCACTTTATCTTAGCCAAAACCAGCACTAGAAGCTGTTGGAAGAAAGGGAGAATTCAGATGTTCAGTGACATATTAGAAAAGGACCTTGATCAGCTTCACAGGGTAAGAAAATTTCTGTATGTCTTATCTGTGGTATTTACAGCTTAAAAATACACCTGTCAGCCCAGGTAAAACTAGATGTTAAATAAAGAATTAGCTGAGATTAGGTAAAACAGCAGATATGAATACAAAAGCAGAAGCATTTGACTTCTACATAGTTTTGAACAATGTTGCTGAAGAATGAAAACTGCATAGGAAGAAGAAATGGAAAAGCAGTGAAAAGTGGGAAAATAATAGAGGAAAAACAACAATGGAGATGAGATTGGATTCTGGATTGATGCAGAACCTGGTTCAAATAAAATCTTGGGCTGGCTTAAACAAGCATTGTCTGCTTCCCTTTGAAGAACCAACAACATCCAAAGCATAACAGATGAACAGTCCTGGGGTAGAGGTGGGTAATTTGACTGGAAACCGCAGGAGAGGAAGGATTGCAGGAACCACAAGAGGAAGACAAATTGCAGTCTCATCAAACAACAGAAAAGTCAAGTGCCCATGTATAAATATACAGTGTTTGTGTTGAATTATTCCAGGAAGATGCGAGCCTGAAGTGAATCCCAGGTGTTTGACTTCATGAAAATTAGCGAGTCCTGATTAGATTCCCCTCCCGGTTGTGAATATGAAATCCCTGGCCAGATGCCTCAGTTCCGGCCGTTTTCAGGAACCTCTCTTCTGCGTTTCCTGATTCTTTGAAAACAAGTCCCACACTGGGGCCCCGGTGCCAGCACACGTCACCCTGCAAGCTGCACTTGCTGAGATTTAGATTTCAGCCCTGACTAATGAGCAACAATAACTCCTTTGTGATCTTACCCAGAGATACACCAGATGAACCCTGTTCAGCATCTGTTTGAGTGCTGCCTGGTCTTTATCAGAACAATCTTAATTGATGTGTGAAGGGATTTAATTAGCAAACACAGGTGGTTTTAGTCTCCCTTTTCATTAACCTCTGCAATGTTGCTCTTCCTTTGGCTGAGTTCAGCAGCCTGTAGAATTCTAGAATGGTTTGGACTAGGAAGGATGTTCAAGACCACCTCATTCCACTCCCCTGCAGAGACACCTTCCACTAGACCAGGCTGCTCCAAGCCCTGTCCAACCTGGCCTCGAACACTTCCAGGGATGGGGCAGCCACAGCTTCCCTGAGCAACCTGTGCCAGGGCCTCACTTCCCTCACAGGGAAGAATTTCTTCCCAACACCAAATCTATCCCTGTCATCTGTCAGACTGAAGCCATTTCCCCCTCATCCTGTCACTCCAGGTCCTTGTCCAAAGTCCCTCTACAGCTCTCCTGGAGCCTGTTCAGGTACTGGAAGGGCTCTAAGGTCTTCTCAGGTTCTTCCCTTCTCCAGGCTGAATAACCCCAGCTCTCTCAGCCTGTCCATGTAGCAGAGGTGTTCCAGTCCTTAGAGTGTCTTCGTGGCTTCCTCTGGGCTCCCTCCAGCAGCTCCACATCCTTCTCATGCACTTCACCATTTCAGAACGCAGCCACAGTTCAATAATTGAGCTGCATGGCTCATTAATTTTTATCAACACGATGAAATGACATGGGAACCCTCAAGTGCTGTGCTTCAGTGGGAGCAGACCTGAGACCAGCTCTGCACTCCTCCCACGCTGTGGGGAGAAGGGTCCGGGCAGCGCTGGGAGGGATCGGTGTTGCCAGGGCACACGGTGGACAGAGAGACTCAGGCACTTAGTGCTGCCCCTTAGTCACCAGTCCCTTCTGGGATGGCAGGTTGGTTGATGGAGTCATTAGGATGGATCTGGGTGACAGTTTTGCAGTCAGTGGTGACAAACCTGTAGCGTAAGTCACTGTCTGTACCCGAGAGCGACCACCCGGTGACATTCTGCATTTGTAATGAAATAAGTACAAGTCCCATCTCTGCCTGTGATACAGGGAACAGTGAAATACAACCCAGGCTAATGAGGCAGGAATTAACTGCATTTTAATTAAAGAATGTTTCTTTTCTAATAAGCTAGAAATTATCGAAATTACTCAGAAATGGGGAGTAAAGCCACAATCAGGGTCAGCAGCCAGCTAGACTGGTACATACAAGTCCTAACTACCACAGCTGGTTAAATGCTTTCCTAGATTGAAGCTTTTCCCTGTTATTCCCCGTGTGACAGAGGCCAGAAAACAATGAGAAAATGAGAGTCTAAATGCACCAGGCAGAGCTTTGCAGGGCTGCAGAGGCTGCGTGGGCTCCTGCAGAGTGCACTGGCTGGCAGGGCTTCACATTTACCTAATGTAAGTTATTATTCCTTCGCTATTATTGCCCTGAATCGACTAAGATATTTTTTGGAGACTAAGGTATTTTATTTCTCTCCAGAAAAAGATTTCCCTTGTGTAATTCCGTTCCCAGACCCCTTCCTTTTCACCTAATCAGCTTCCCACTGTTTTGCAAAGCCTTTTTTCCAGGCTGTCTGTATTTATTTGACCTTTGCACTCTACAACATCTGTTTCTTTATCTGCTTGGCAGGCTGATTTCTTGGGGCTCCTTTGTAATCTTGGCAGTGAGATAGCAGAAGCACAGTTAGCAAAAATAAATAAATAAATAAATAAATAAATAAATAAATAAATAAATAAAGGGGGGGAAAAATCACCCCAAAAATAGCAGGAACTTTGAGGGAGGCTAGTGCTATAAAACACAATTGCTTTTAAATATCCCCAAACCTCTTACTGATGCTTTCAAGTATTTAACTTTAGCCTCTTTCTAGTATTCAAAAGGACATGAAGGGGACTAGCAGGAATTAACCCAACTAAGGAAGTACCAGAAATTAAAGAATAGATCATTCGCATGAGACTGAAAAGGAAGAAATTATTTTAAATTACAATTACAGCTGTAGGTAGCTGGGAAACAGAAACCTGCTTAACCTCAGGTATATGAGCAGCTCCTGAGAAAGTGACAAGACTGACCACACTTTTAAAATAAAGCACACGCCTGCCTAGTCACAAAATCAGGGCCAAAAGCCAGGAAAAACCTCAGTGTTCCACACAGTAGCAAACCCCACTGAAAGAGGTGCTTCTGATGTACAGGTCAATGCAATTTAAAAAAAAAAACCAAAAACTCAAAAGTGCATTTTTGAGGTTCAGATTTCCAGAGTGAAAGTGAAAAAGCAGAAAAGAAAAAAAACATCCCAGCACATCATCTTACAAGAGGAGGAAATAACACAGCAAGAAAGGGCTGATGTGGAAAATTCATCAATCACCTCTTGGATCCGCACCCCTGGGCACTCACCACCTTTTTCCACCTCATTCCTGGATGGAAAGGTGCTGCAGGGACATGAGATCTGTGCTTGGGAGCACCAAATCCGAGTGCTCAGCCTCTGTGGAGCCAGCACTGTGCTGCCAGATGCTCCTGCTCATCCTCTGAGTCACTGCCCCCGTTACCTTGGCGAGCGCAGCCGCAGGTACTGTCAGAGGAGCCCCAGAGCCAAGAGAACATGTTGTTTCCTGCTACTCCACCAGCACAGCCCCAATTCCGGATTCTCATCATGTTGCTAATTCATTAAATACAGTCAGGAGCACGTTAGCAGTTGCAGAAGGGACTCACTGGGTGGCACACACTGCGTGAGCACCCATGAGCACATGCATGGTGCTGCTGCCTCCAGCCCTCTCCACGGCATCCCTGGGGAACAGAGCTCTTGCCCTCAGCATTCCTCTGTTGGTTCCCACTCCCAGTTTTTGCCCTGTTTCTGGCAGAAAGCATGAAGAGCAGTTCTTCAGAAGGAATGAGGTCTGGGTTGAGTTTGGACAAGAAGCTGTGCCATGTGGGACCAAGGTGCCGCAGGGGATATCTCATCCCTCTCCACAATGTCTTGGGGTGCTGCACTCTGGAGCAGAGCTTCCACAGCAGCACCTGATCCTCTGCCAAATAACATGAAATCCTCAGATTTTACCTTACGTTGCCACAGCACTGATTATTTCTCACAGGGCCTTTGATGCTGCTGAATAATTTATTAAAATCCCTCTTTGAGTGAAAGGGGACAGAGCCCTTGCAGAAATGGGTGCATCGAGCAAAGCCACCCTGGTGTCACCGTGCAGGCAATAAGTGTGTGGCAGGATGGTCTCACCAAGGACACCATCCACAGGGATGCAAAGGGAATGGAAAGCACTGTCAAACATCCTTGTAGCAACACGCTGTAAAATCAGGCAGAGGAACTGTCCTTGACCAGCCTTCTCTCCAGGCCCTGCTTTGGGAGCTGGCATTAGCAAATGGGCTCTTGTGTGAATAGATCTGTCAAAATCCATGTGAGCAATTCCCACCCCAGCCCTGCCTACTCCAAGTGGCATAATTTTGGTACCTGACTACTTCAAAGGTGAAAGCATATCCTCTCTAATTTGCTAAATTGAAAAATTTACCCCTCTCAGGAGACAACCTCATCTCCACCTTCAACCTCTTCAGCTTTGTACACTCTGTTCGTAACATGAAAAGGTTTTTCCTTAATTTCTTCTCCAGGAAAGAAGGAATTGATCTCTCATTTGTAGCACTTTAAATTGACATGTTGACTACAAAAATCCACTGCTCATCTCATCAAAGGCTGATCTAATAGTGCCAATTACTCCAGTAATGGAGATCCTCACAGGGATGAGTGGATTAGTAGAAAAGGGAAGTAGAGGTGGGAGAGACAAAGTGACAGGATTAAGATGGATGGGTCCTCTCATATGCAAGGAGGCACAGGAAGAAGTGGAATCTGGGAAGACAGCATTGTTTTAAATCAGGATATCTGCTGTACATGGCAAGACAAGACATGACACATTCCTCATCTTGTCGACAGGAGGGATTCGACCCACTTGTCTCCAGCTGTGGAAATGTGATGCAGAGTCTGGTCCTCACTCATCTGGTAAGTGACAGAGCTGATCTGAGCTCAGCCTGGAATCCTGTGGATTGACAGCATGGACTTGTACAAGATGTAACTTGAATGCCTGTAACAAGCCCGATATCCACTGACAGCCAGTGGCAGGGCAGGCTTGTTCATCCTTCCCGCTCTTCAGGTATTGCTCTGGTAAAATGCGCTCTCTAGTGTGGGCAAAGCAGCAAAGATGGAAGGTTCTGAGTGCCCCAAAAAGCCATCAGCCCATTCCTTCCACAGCCCTGCTGCTCAGGACCACCAGTTCTGCACAGAGCAGGCAGCGAGCTCGTCACCACTGGCACTGCTCGTGGTTTTGAACCGGGAGCTGTGGATCACCATCAAGCTTCAAGCATTTTCTAGTGTCAAGTGCTTCACATAGTCCCCTCCAGATTCTGGTTCCAAGTCAGTTCAGCAGTAGGTTTGGGGAGTGTTTAGATCAACAGTCTCACCATCCTGCAGTGGAGGTTTGTGGCCTCTCTCCGACCTACAACACAGTAAAAAAAAAAAAAAAGATCTGCTAAGGTCACAATGAAAAACCCAGTGCTAAGCTTTCTTTAAACTCTCTTACCTCATAATTTTGATTGTGAAATGCTATTTAGGAAGACCAAGACTGATCAAAAGCAGGACATTTCTGTAGGTTTTTGTAAAAGTGGGGGTTTTTTGAAGGTTTAAGATGGGGAGATTTTCACTGAAGTAATTTTTCTCTTACAATTTTTTCAGCATCCTATTATTTTGAGTTTCCGCTTTTATCTCCTGCCAACCTTTACCTGTCCAGAGCAAATAGTTTCCCTGACAGCTTCCATCTCTATGTGCCATTTCCTGAGCATTACCTGCATGAAGCCTCGGGTGCTCACTGAGGAAAACTCACTTCTTTATATTCTTTGCAGAACCAGGGAAGGTCTTGCTTGCTCAGCTGGGCACTGAGATAGTTTGCTACTCAAACCTACTCTGTGTGGCATCACTGATGTATTTTTGACTGAAAGAAATCTGTTTGTTTTCTGCTCTTAAATAAAGAGTGAGCGGCTCCGTGAGCAACACGAAGGCGCAGGAAACACAATCAGCCTGTTACTCAAACACCATTTCTGAAGGGATTGTGCTCTGCTTTTTAGAGAAGATTAAGAGCTCAATTACAGTAGAGGAAGAGTCTTTCATTAAATCACACATAGAACATAATAAGGACAAATTATAAAGCTCTTCAGAAGCAAATCTGTGTCAGACTGCTGGGTAAGGAGGCCTTTCATGGGGAGCATCAGTTGTTTCTCCTGCCCTTCTGAAGAAATGAGTCCCACACACCTCATCTAACCACATTTTTAAGGAAAGCACATAACCAGATACCTATGGGGCATATGAACCTGGAGATGAGGGATTCAATTCTTTTTTTCCCCCCAAGCATTTTAAGGCACTTCATGGCAGAGCTCAAAGGGGACAACAAGGAGTTACAGGGCTGTCCAGAATCCTGCACCTGGGAAAGGGTGAGTCCAAGTTTAGTCACAGATTTGTCATTGCTTGATTTCGTTCTGTTGTTATTCTCTTCTCCTGAAATAAATTATGGTTAATTAAAGGCAGTTAGCTAATTGGATTGTAAGCAGGTGCTAGTAGAAAAAACACATCATTCCCCTTTGAAACCCCAGAGATTCATTGAATTTCTCTTGGAAAAGACATCCCAAAAGCTCCTAATCTATTGATAAAAACAGTCACCTGAAAGGAAAAAAAAGCAACATTTTTTGGGAGGTTTCACAACAGCAACCCCCATCAAGCATTAGGATTGTCATTAACACACCAGAAAACCCTTCAAAGGCTCAAAAACCTTTCTTGAGAAGCAGTGCCAGAATGCACAAAGCTGAAAAATGATCCATGAAGGCCTCACATTTCCATCAAGGGCAGGATGAGATGAGTAGGAGAGCATGACTGGGGGTCTTCAAAAGCCAGACCTTAGAGCAGAGAAGGGATTAAATCCTGATATCCCTCCGATTATCCAGAAGTGGATCAAGCCATGTGAGAGAGCTCAGAAAGCAACAGTGCTTGTGACAAAACAGCAGCATGTAAACAGAGGGAGGAAGAGAAGATACAGCTGAATACATCCTAATGCTCATCTTCGGACTGACCTGATGTCATTGGTGCAGTGAGTCACAGACATCTCCAAACGTGGGTGGCAGAACTGAAAAGTCCACTGATAAGCAACTGAAATAATTAAGAGCATAAAAGAGTGAGAATAGGGATTAGGACCTGGAGAAAAAAGAACATAAAAAGGCTAGGCATCATGTAATACTGTGCATAATGAGAGTAAAATAGATGTTGCTACTCATTATATATCAAAATAATCATAGAATACTTTGGGTTGGAAGGGACCTTTAAAGGTCACCAGGAATGACATTCAAAAGAAACAGAAAAACAATATATTAACTGAGAAACCTATATTGAAAACAACGTATGATTAGAGCCAAAACAGCAACATCTTATCTTTGATCTGAAGATTTATCAATAACCAATGCTGTCTGGCACTAAGGGAAACACTAAAATAAAATCCCTCTGATCAGATTCTCCCATGCTGTGCTATCAGACATCTCCCTGCTCCTGCAGAAACATTGGACTTTGGTATGTGACCCCAGTGTGGCAGCACCACGTGTGAAACACCACCTCAGAAAAGTGCATCACTTCTACCCAATAAGTCAGTTTTTACCTGATCACTAAACTTCTCTGGAAAGCACTGGGTGCAGGATAAACCCAGACAGAAAAGGGATGTCTCTGTGGAAAAGTGGGCTGGGTTAACTTCTCATGAGGTCATTAACTGCTGGTTTCATTAGGCTGCCTACAAACAAACCTTAATTGCCTAGTGGTTACTGCATGGTGAAAAGCCATTTTGGTTTGTTAATGTTCTCACCTGCCAATGAAATTATTTTTAAAATGCCTTGTAAAGTTTTTCCCTTCTCAAAGAAGGTGTGATAGACTGGTGTGTGAAAATAACTCTCCTATAAAAGAAGTGTACTTCTTTTTTTCCCCCAACCATTCCATAAAAGCCCCCACTCACTTAAGAGCTTTTTATATAATTTCAAATATTCGCTACATGGCCAATTATTAAAAGAGCCCTGAACCTGTGGTTCAGTTAATGACCATCTCCTGCATATTTTGTTACATGTTTTTTCCTTCCACAAATGCATCACCATGCACAAAGTCACATGTGTTGGAGGTCAAAAAAGTCTTGCAGAGATACTGGAAACCTCCTGTGAAGACCCAATTTAGGGAGAACTTGAGCTATTTTCTGGTTCTGAGGGTGAAGATGCTCAGGATCTTCCATTTTGTCCCTGAATCCTGCTCTGGAAAGACTAGAGCTCAACAGAGAGCTGTGGGAATGATTTATATTGCACTGAGAGGAGCCAAGGTCATGCAAGGGTCTTTCATCAGGAGCAAACAGCAGCCTGGAGGATGGGGTAGACTGAATCCATACCACCAAATGCCCATCCTTCACCTTAATGCAAAGCTGCCACAGCTGCCCCCAGAGTTGCCATGTATCACTTTTTATATTCCTCCTGTTGTGTATATTTTTGAGCAGCTGTAATATGTGGCTTTTCATGGTGATCCAGTGGGAAACAGCCATTTGCCTGCTGTGATATCCACTAATAACTAATACCAACACCTCATTCCCTTTGGTTTTGTTTGGGGGTTTTTTGCCTATTTGTTTGTTGGGGGGTTTTGTTTGGGGTTTTATGGTTTTGTTTGTTTTGGTTTGGGGGTTTGTTTGTTTGAGTTTGTTTTTTTTTATAAATGACTGGTGAAGTTGAAACTGCCAAACTCAAAAGAATGTAAACCAGGCTTGACTCACCAGCAATTACTTCTGATTGGGTTTAGCAGCGTTAGACCATTTTCAGGTTTTGCTTTACACCATCAGCCTGCCTGGGCTCTGTGTGCTCAACATTTCACAAAGGGAGAAGCCAATTGATGCTGCACTGAGCTCCCTTTCAAACAGCAAAACCTGCGTCAGCATGACAGAAAAGCAGGAAAAAAATTAATACAATATTCATCAGTTAGAGCAGAGCAAGAGTCCCACCATCTGCCCCTCTGCTGTTATTAATTTTGTACATTTACAGACAAACCTGGGTCTAATGCTACCATCTCTCCTTTCAGTCCCTGATGTTATTTGCCACCCTCCAGCTTTGATACGAACTGATCTAACTCATTGCTGTCCATTTGGAGCAGAGGGGAAAGGCATCACCGGGTTCTACATGGACAAACATTCCCTTTGGATACCCCCCTCTGTCACCAGACTCTGGTACAAACATAGCATGACTTGATCCTCCTAGTTAAAGGCATGATGTTAATTGGCACACATTTGTCCCTTGGACTTTCCAGCACAGCAAATGTCAGTGCTCATAATCCCTGCTCTGCAGTCCCTGCTCTGGCACCAAAACATCTGAACCCCCCAGTACATCTCTAATTGGCACCTACCTGTGGAGAGCTATGGGGGGAGAACCTACCCCCAGCAACCACACAGAAAAACAAAACACTTGACATTGGTAGTCTGGGTCAGAGCTGAAACAAGAGAGAAGGTATTTTAATGCAGATTAAAGAGGGTTTTTTAATGCTGAGTTCATTCTCCGAGAAAACAAACCTAATGAAAGCTTTCAGTCTCCCCACCTACCACGGACATGTATTGCCGAGGTTGCTCCTGGGTTATGACTGATTTTTGTTAGTCGGTTTGGGACTCTAATATCCCTCCTGGTTAAGGTGCAGAGATGATATTTCAGAGCCAGACAAGCTCAGCACAGCTCCTGCAACACACAGAATTTCCAGATGCAGATATTCAGGCCATGCAAACTGATACTTTTTCATCCCAGCGCAAAGGTAACTATTAGGACGTCACCAATGTACTACACGCTTCTCAGAGCTGCCCCTTCTGCCCAGCCCTCCCAAATCCTTTCACAGACTTTGCTCCCAAGCAGTTATTGATGGCGTTCAGTAGCACGTGGAATTTCATCCTGGTTTTCCTTCATCTTCTCCTCCCGAGCTGTCTCCAGTCACGGTGTGTGGGCACTGACAGCGCAGCATTAACGCGTCACCTCGTTGACGCCGAGGTGCCTGTCACAACTTTTCATCAAAAGCAGGGAACAGATGATTCTCACCGGGTCCCACACAGCCCCGTGGGGACCTTGCGTGGCTGCAGCTCTGGCACCAGCCCTGGTGCACAGGTGACACTCAGCCAGGGGCACCCAAGGGATGAGGTGGCCCGAGCACCACGAGGCTTCCACAAGTAACGCAGCCACCCTACAGCACAAAGCTGGAGGAGCTGGGACTCTCCTGGGGGAAACAGCAGCAACGTTAAGCTCTGTTGGAGTTCAGCAGCACCTGCATCTTCCATGCTTTTGTATGGTTTTATCTGCTTTTTAGCAAACCATTGAAGAAGCAAACCAAAACCTCACTGGAAAATATTTGAATAATACTTAGCTCTTGGTGAGACAAAGATATATATGTTTCTCTGCATCACACGACAACCCCAGTTCCTGAGGAGTGGGAAATAAATTTATCTCCTTGAAACAGCCTCTTGCAACTACCCAATGCAGCTCCAAAGGGAGCAGAGCTCAGGGAGAGAAGCACTGCACTGAATCCTCCTTGATCGCTCTTCCCAGTGCCTTGTGCTGCTCAGGGAGTGGCAGGTTGTAATGACAGGGAATTTGCAGCAGCCTGAAGCACCCAAGCAAGCACCAGTCACTCTCCAAAATGGCCCTTCAAGAGCTGATTGCAAAATCTGGGATTTTTTTTAAAAAAAGTTATGCCAAAAATGTCAAGTAACTCTTCATCTGCAGAAAAAGAGCCAAACTCACTCTGGAATAATAAGGATGAGCTGAAAACACCCCAAGTATTTTAACCCCTTTGGTGTTTAGACATTTCAACCACTTTCCTAAAGGAAGGATGCATTAAAGATGCATGGGGGCAAGGCAAAGGAGGTGATAAGTCTTTGAACACCCCTGGCTCAGGAGATGCTTCTCTATGTTGGCAGCGTTTCATCCTCATGCCAGGCTGGAACATCTGCTCCCGGTCACCTTCGGACACAGGGCAGGGACAGACCGTGTTGTTCATCACGCTCAGTTCACCACCTGGGATAACATATTCACATCCCATTGCCATTTACGTAGGAATTTCAGGGGACACACAGAAGGAGCCACCCATTCACAGGGAAAAGCATTAATTTGCACAGCCCAAATCCCCACGACGCTGCAGACTGCAGCAACCGAGACTCTGCATTTACACTTCGGCCTGTGTGCCTTATTTTTTCCCCCTCTGTAAAGTCCCCCCAGGTCCCTCCATGCTCAAATTCCCAAGATAATTAAAAGCAGCATTAGGAACAGGGATGGGCAATGCAAAGGATTCCAAGGCACAGCAGAATTTCTCTTCTCAGAGCTGACATTTCCAGCCAAGGTGAGAGGAAAAGCCGACATGAAAGAGGTGTGAAATCAAAGCAGTAATCAAATTTAGGTATAATGAGAGAAGCTGGAGAGGTTTTCAGTGTTCAGAACAAGATTAGCAGCTCCAGGCACAGGAGGAACGCGGCCTTTTCCACCCTGTAACAACTCCGCGATGCAAATTGCATTTCGAATCCCTCTGCCCAGCTCTGGGACCCATTCAGCTGCCAACGTGGTGCTGAATTTTTAAAGCAAAGTGGAGGCTGGTTGGAGAGATGGTTTGTAAATAAATATCAAGGAAGACAGCCTGGAAGCACCAGCCAGAGCAAAGACCAGCAGAGCCTGGCCCTGGGGTGCAGCACAGCCACCCAACACATGCCTGAAACTCCAAGAAATTAATGCATTTGCCACTTGTTTTCCTCCCACAGGAGATATAGAAGGTGCTTTATGGAATCCCTGCCTCCTCCAGGCTGTTTCAGCATGCAGAAGAGCACAAGGATGAAGATTACACCATCTACTGCAGCTGCTTCCAATTCCTGCCTCAAATCTCTCCGAAACCTGTCACTACTGAGCCTTCCCAGAGCCCCAGCTTCGCTTGGTCCTTGCAAGATTTCAATGCTGAGGAGCATGAAGGAAGATGAAGGAGCTTGTAGAGACCAGAGATGCAATTGCTGCCTCAGGTGCATTTCACTGCCCAAGTTAGTGCCTCTAAAACCATTAAAATCAACCCCTTTGACAGCATTAAGCCAACATGAGAACATCAAAGTCTGTAAATGGTTGGAAGAGTCATTTCTTAATATTTCTCTCCCAGTCTCCCATTTCGTGCTGCTGTTGCAGGGGCTTATCCCATCACCCAGCAGCTGCAGCAAGTCCTGGCAATCAGCTTCAGATGGATTTTTAGCGCTGAGCAAATACGAGGCAATTTTACTCAGTCCCCAGTGAAAGAGATTTCAGCTAAATCAGATAACTTCTGTGTTCTGAGGCTGGCCACTAACTGCTTCCAGATCCCCAAGTCTGGATGTCAAACTGCTGTAATTTCATTATGAAGTGGAGCTGATGGTGTCACCCAAGTGCTGGCTTTGGGGTAGAAGGTGAACATGCCCCAAGGCACAGCTCCTACAGCAAGAGGGGGGACTACAGCAGGAACAGCCCCAGACCTGCCAGCTTCCCTCATCTCCTGCAAATAGTTCCTCAGCAAACTGCAAACCCTTCCTTTTCTCTCTGCAAAAGGAGCATTTCAAATCTCCAGTTGCCCTCAGATTCAGCCCTGCCTCCGAAGAGGATGGAGACACAGCAGGAAGAGGAGGGATTAATAAGTACTGAGTGGGATGGGAACAACAAGGATCTGGCTGTGTTCACTGTCCATCACATCCAGCACATTTACAGCCCAGGGGGCTGGGATGGCCCAGCAGAAGGACAGCCGCTGTCAGAACACCTCATCACGCTGCTGAGGCCCTGGGCAGCCAAACAGGCACTATGACAATTAAACCAGGCCAAGTATTGATTCCCCAATCTTTGTCTCCTTCCTCTGCCACCCAATCAGCTCTTTTCTAGAAAATTTGTGTGCATGGAAAGCTCCCTTCCAGAAAGTCAATCTGCATATAAGGCAGGTTTGTTTGATCCTCAGAACTTGCTGGTATTTCCTTCATCTCTTATCTCACCAATAAACAGGAGATAACACACACAACAGGGGATTGAAAACTGAAAAAGACTCAAAGAAGGGTTTGGGTTGGAAGAGACCTTAAAGATCATCTTGTTCCAACCCCCTGCCATGGGCAGGGACACCTTTCACCAGACCAGCTTGCTCCAAGCCCTGTCCAACCTGGCCTTGAACACTTCCAGGGACAGAAGCAACAAAAGCAGTGAAAAGCCATTTACTTACATTCCATCTACTCCAACAGCTGACACAGTAGCAGAGATGAGGTGCAGGCAATCTTCCCATAAATATTATTCCCACCTGGATCCCCTTCTTTAATACGTCTGCTCCTTCCTCTGCCCTCCATCCATGTCTGCTGGGCTAGAAAACATATTTGTAGAAGGGAAGAAACTACAACAAACAGCTCAGCCATTGGTCCTATAGTATAACGAGCAATAAATGAGTTACTTTGCTTCTCTCACACATCACTGCTGCAGGGTGATAATACCATTTATCATACCTGAATGATAAGTGCCCATTGAGAAGGGAAAAGCATCCATTCATTCCTAAGCCCTGCAAGTCTTTTACTCAGAAGAAATTGGAGGAACAAAGGTCTACAGCCTCAGCAGGATGATGGACAATGCCTCATCCTCCATCCCTCTGGGCCAGGGAAGGATTGCTGGGCATATTGTCTAAATAAATAACAATAAGGCCATGAAGCAGGAATGAAAACTCCCTAGAAAAGTTTTAACTGAGCAATCCCAAACATTAAAAGTTACTCCAAAATATCGGTCAGTTAAATTACTTTAATTTTATATACAAAGTTATTCTGTCTCACAATAATTGGGATCTATATAATTGCATTTCCAAGCACTAAATTCAGACCAGCCATGAAGACCACAAGAGGCAGGAGAAGAAAAAAAAAACCACCAACAGAGATTTTTAAGGAGACAGAAATTGAAGGCTGAGTTTTTCCCATTATAGACAGTTTCATAAATTATCACCTGCCAGCTCCTTGCCTTCGCTTGTGAGGCCATCGCTGAATACTGAGGCTAGAAGTAGAAAAAGGCTCAAATATCTGAATTAAAGGACAGCATAATGACAAGAGCTGCCTTATAAAAGCAAGATATGATGGACAGCAGGAACAGCTGAAGCCAACAGAGACGAGTCCAGGAACTATTCATGCTTCAAAGATTTCTGACAAAACCCCCAATAATCCAAAAGCAGCATTTTGTCTGGCAGAGCTGATTGTAACCATGTGCATGTACTTCAGTCACTGACAGCAAATGAAGATTTGCTTGGAGCTCCTTTGGTCCACTACTGCTTTCTTCTTTCCGTCCAGAAAATGTAATTACATCTACTCTTTGGGAAAAAATTACTTCTTTGAGTGGTTCATGGCAAAGAGTTTGTTCCCATACCCACTTGTAATCAGTCACCAAGAGAAATATTTTCTCAGAAGATCTCTTCAAAATTTTGGAGTTATTTTAACATAAATAACTTGGTTATTTTGTTCCAAACGATAAGGGAATTCAATTTGGCTCTGCTAGCTTTAAAAGAAGCATTTCTTCCTAGTCTTTCAGAGAGAGGAACAAAATGCTTTGTTGCAGAAAAATGAAGGGAGGGAGAAGTTTCTTTCCCCCTGAGCTGCACAGTACCAAGAGGCAACAAAAAAACATCAAATATCCAATTCTTGTAGTTTAAGGGAAAACTTTGAGGATCTGAACTGTGGGAAAGACAGAGTGGGAGAAACAGGGGATCTGCTGGGGTTTTTTTTTTGGGTGGGGAGAGATTAGAGAAATACCACAGTGTTCAAGCAAAATCAGTGAGAATTCCAGACTCCATCCCTCAGAGAACAAATGCATCGATTTGACCCAAACGCCTTTCAAATTCAAGTGAGTCAGAGGTGTTTCCCCAAGCTCTGCTGAGCCATCAGGTACAAACCAAACCACAGTCTGGGACCAGGGCAGCAGATCCCTGGCACAGGGCAGGGATGCCCCCCTGGGAAGCTGCCTGCATCACCCATGGGATTTGCTAGATCTGCTTCTACAGCCCAAAGCACCCAAAAAGCTCCACATTAAAGTCTTCAGTTTGGGATTTCACTTCTCCATCTGTCTGTTGTCACTTGGCAGCTGCTTCACGTCAACACCCTTCTGACGGGCACAAAGTTTCTCCTGATTTCCAGCCTAAACAGAAAGCTATTTCCATTCATTCTTCTGCAAATACTGGGAGTTTGTGCCTAATTTGCTCTTTCTCTCCCTGGTGTGCATTTGTACAACTAAAGGTATCAAAGCCATGAGCATTTCATTTTTAAATTATGCCATTTTTGCAAATTATCTTCTTCCCAGATCGTTGCATGGATGTGGTGCTGATTCAGCACTCAGAGCCTTGGCACCACGAAGTCCGAAGTTTTCCTGATGACCTCCCACGGCTTTGTATCAAGCCCCTGCAGAGAAAATACAGCAAAGAAATTCCAAACAGAGCCCCTAGAAAAGATAATAAAATGCCACATGCCTGTGTCGCTGCAGGGAAGGATCAGCTTCCCTGTTTAGTGGTGCTTATTAAATCATTACAAACAATTAAAGCAGCAGAGGAGAGGAAGGCAGTGTTATCATTTCCAGCTCTCCAGTCTGACTCTGCTCCCCAGCAAGAATTTCATAAAGCACGGATCTCTCAGCAGAAGTCCCTCAGCAATAGATTTCCTACTCATGGAATACAGCAGGCAGACACCTTGGCTTTCCTGGACAGAAAGGGAGAATTCGCCTCGATGTTTTTCTGTCATACAGCTGTGAAGTCAAATCCCCCTCCCTGACCTACCGAGAGAGTCCTGCAGGGGTTTCCCATGTTTCTGTGGGATGACAACTCTGGAGATGCACAGAGAGACTCGTGTGAGCATAAGGGACCCCCACAAGAGCAGACCTCTGTTCAGGCTCCATCTCTGCTCACAAACAGGATCCAGAAGAAAATCTGCTGTTATTGCGTTTTCCCAGAACAGGTAATTTCCAGCACATTTTTCTCTTGAGCTGTTCTGCCTTCCACAAAAGCAGAGTGCTTGGGATCACTTTGGAGCCGAGCAAATAGCTCCATCACAGATAGGAGCACCAGGAAACAGAGCAACACCTAACAGCCGAGACAATCCAAAACCAATTATCAGCCCATCCCCACATCTCCTGGACTCAAGAGAGTCAAGAGAGTTAGAAAAGCCAACTGTTTTCTAAGAACCGGCTGTGCAGTGGAAAGGTGAGTGACAGGCACAACCAACCCCAACACAATCGCCCCTCGGCAGGGGAAGGAGCAGGAGAAATCCAGCAGACAGGGTGGGAAAGGCTCTGTTACCGACAAGGATGCAGCTCCATTGGTGTTCACTCACTGTTTGGGTTGCTCTTACATTAACATTGCGTCTCACACACCACAACTGTGTTTTCCCTCCCTGCAGCCACACGAAAAAGACCCACTGATCTCTCACCTTTTTCTCACCTCTCTCTGCCTGAAATGACTTTTCCCTTATGTAATGGGCAAAACAGAGCTTGTTTTCATGCTGGAAATGAGTCCATAAACTCTTTGTCCAGTTTGACATTACAAACCCATTACTGAGGTGCCCCAGGGCAGTAAGGAAGGGAAAAACTGAGAACTGAGACTGGAACATCAGCCATGGGTACGTGATGGGCAGCATCATATTCTGCCTCTCTCATGGATGTTTTATTTTCCAGCCCAGAAAATTCCCTGTCCTTTCCAGGGCTGCAGAAAAATGCTGTCTGCCTCACACAATGAGGAGTAAGCCAAGCAGGAGTGCTACAGAGCTGCACTGGGAAAACAGGGGAGATGCTAATACACCCAAAAACTCTTATTGCAGAGTAAGGAGTTCGTCACATCCTCCCCGTAAATTAGGATGTGATGGAGAATTGATTGCCAAGTAACCTGCAGAGACACACAGCTACTCTGCAGTTTTCTAGGACTCACTGAGCGACACAAAAAGGTTATTGATGCAACTGGGGAGTGCTTCTGTATAACATGTGCTCCTGTACCTCCTGACATTCCAGCCAGGGAAACAATTTACTGAACATTTACAAGAAGAAAGAAATTGTTACTACAAAAAAAAACTAACCCAACAAAAAAACCAACCAAACAAACAAACGAGAAAAAAAAACAAAGCCAAAACCCTCCCCAAACCAAAACAAAACCAAAAAAACCCCACAAACCAACTTCCTGGCAAGGAGCCTCAGGAAGAGTTTGTAGAATTTGGTGAAAACAGGCCATTTACAAGGAATTTTTCCTCTGTTTTCAAGTGGAATTGAGAAGCAGGTGGAGATGGAGAGGGCTCAGAGCCTGAGTGTGCTCTGTGCCCAACACAAAACATCTCCTGTTTGGTCAGTGCTGGTCTGAAATCACTGACCTGGCAGGAGGCCCTGCATGGCCCCAGGAGTTCTATGCTTTGGAAATTATTCCCTGTGGAAAACCCAGAGATACATCTTTATTTCTTTTATCTTCCTGCTCCTCCTCCACGAGCATCCAAAACTTCTCTATAGCGTGGCTGTCTGTAAATAAATTTGTATCAATAGGATTTCTGATGGGGGATCTTATTCACCCAGCAAGCTGTGAAAGCCTCACTCAGTGACCTGGCAGCTTCAATCCCCAGGGAATTAAGTTCTGGGGTTTTGCTTTGGGGCCCAAATTAAATTTTAAAGAGAGAAGAGCCAGGTTTTACTGTCTGTTGCTGCTCTTTGGGCTATTTCAGGTGCACACACCGAATCCAGTCCCTCCCTCACTTGCTCAGAGCCAAACATCCCCACTATGTCCATGACCAAGGGGTGCAGATAAGGAGAGAGAACCAGACCATTACATCCAGTAATCCCTTCCCTTTTCCTTTCATCTTCTGCTTTATAAATTATTTTTATGAGTTCTATAGCACACCATTTCCTGCTCAGTTCACCACATTTATCCAACTTACATTTTCTCTGTCACACTGGCACATCCAACAAGGCTCATGCTCCTAAAGCTGAGTTTTCATTAGCACATATTCAGCCACAAGAATTACAATGACCTATTTAAGTAGGTCAGGCCAGTATTAATGGCAAAAGTGAGCTGATTGCAGTCCAAAGCCAGAGAGTCCAGTCTTACTAAGCTCAAACCAGGTCTCCTGCTTCTCTTTTTGCCTTATAACAATTTCTGGTAACCCTTGCACTCCACAATGTTTGTTGGCCTGAAGAGTGTTGGAGAAAGGTGCTAGCTCTGTATAATTGAACTCGAAAATGTGCCAGAAGACAGATTTCATGTGTTTTGTTGGGGTTTTTTTTCTACAATGAACACTGTAGAAAATATTAGAACATTTTTCTCAAACATGATACTAAGGTGAAGATGAGTCATTTCACTGTCATAACAGGGGAGGGAGGGGAAACCAGAGTGAAAAAAGGAGCAAATTCATTCAGCAGCAATTTGCACTTCATAACCCTCCACTGATTAGGCTTTTAGGCCAGAGGAGGTCTGCTACTTAAGCAGAGAGGCAAAACATTGAGCTGTTGCTTAGATATTGGAATATATTGCACAGAGTCTGCTCCCTGGCAAGCGTCTGTGAAGGGCTCCGGGCTGGTTTTCCAAGGATGCATTATAGCCCTGTTGCAATGCTGTTGTTTGCAAAGACTCAAAGATTTTCAAAACAGGTCAAGGGATGACAGAAAGGGTGACTTTTCTGAAATAACAGTTCAGATGGCTTTAAAGAAGTCGAGGTGACAACTCCTATCACCTGGAAGTGGCAGATACCAAGGGCTCTTAGAAGCTGTGTAACAACCAGATTAATAGCAACTAAATAATGTATATTCCTGCATGGAATGCCGATGGATTGCAGCACTATTTGCCCTGCACAGCCCTCATCTGCCAACAGCACAGCACGAGAAAGGACAGGGAAGAAGAGATCTCTACCTGCTGACTCACATCCATTCCCAATCCACCCAATTTGGGCAACAAATATCCTTTTATTTCTGTTTTACTCCCATCCTTTTAAACTAGCATTCCTCCTCATTTCTTGCTTCTTACCTCTGAAATCCAACAACTGTGCTGAAGACTCCCCTTGCAGACACATCTGATAAAGGCAACCAGCAGGAAAACAGGTCCTTTAGTCAGATCCAGTGGTCATGGATAGCTTCGGGAGTTCACAGCATTCCAAGAGAGCTACTGAAAGGAAGCAATTAGAGTACCCTGGAGTACTGCAGCTCAAGGTCCCATCACATACAATGCTTTTTCCTCACAGGCACAGGTCCCACAGTCAGATTACACAAAAGCTGTGACTCACATGGGCTGATGGAAGAAGCCTGAGATAGGGAACAACAAAAGCTTCAAGCCCAGAAGACAAGCTGATCCATAGATTGATCCAGCAGATTAGCTTCCCCTTCTTCCAGATAGTTAAGGAGGATGAGGCAGCAGCATCTCCGGTGGAGTCAGGGCCATCACAGGACACGTGGGATGGTTTTTGCCCACTGCTCATGGCAGCATCGAAAAAAGGGGAGCCCCAGGCCACTGCCCCAAGCCCCACAGACCCTGCAAAGGAGATGGAGCAGCACAGAAAAAGGGGACAGACCCCTTCCAGAAACCTTCCTCTCCCAAAGAGCTCTGCTTTGGACGGACTGGACTGGCACAAGGCAGCAAACCAACCGAAGCACAGACTTGTTTCCAGCCCTGGGAAAAAGCAGGAAAAAATGCTGGAGAATAAAAGCATCCTGTAAAGGAAGTAGATTTTAATTTCTGTTTTAAGGCTGTTTGAAGCCAGACCAACAGGGGGTGGGGGAGGAAATGAGGGTGTTTAAATCAGTGTTCTGCCTGCACTCTAAATTCTCACAGATACATATTAATTGCAGCAAGACTGGTACTGTGTCCTTGCTCACATGGTCATGAGTACACTGCCAGAGCTCTATTAATTAACACACCTCTGGGTGCATGGCCTCCTGCTGGGAGCCAGGCAGATTCCTGCAATGCCACTCACCCTCTATGGCTGGGTGACACTTCTGGGTGGCACCACAGGGCTGGGAGATGTTTGGTAGAAGAGCCAGATTCTCCAAAAGCTGCTGGGGATGAGAACTGACCCATTGCTGGAGCCTCACAGCCTCCTTCCTGGCTTGTGGGGAGCAATCATCTTCAGCCACCCACCACCTCCTGGTGCTGCAGTATTTATTCCCTATCACATCTGGTCTGAGGAAATTGTTAACAGGGCATTTATCTCGATTGCTCCCCTGCAGAGACAGACAGGGCAGTTATTGATATGTACTTTCCCTGACAAAAACGGGCCATTTATAAGACTCATTACTACGATTTTCCTTAAATCACCTCCAGTACCACTTTGCCTTCACTGCAGCTTGTGATGGGTTGGATGTGTCACCGGTCCCTGGATCCATAGCAATTATTACCATTCAAAGGCACTTTCTGCACCACAATTTACCAGTTCGCTGATGGAGACATCTGCCCTCCACTCACCCCCCAGAAAAATCAGCACCTATACCCTTTGTTGGATCCCAGGGGTGTCCCACAAGGGGAGCACCATCACCTGTCTAAGCCAGCCTGGCTCAGTATAGCTGGGAAGGGTTAGGAAGCAGCAGGACACGAGCCAGCTTGTGGCAAAGGCAGAAGCACCCAGCACAGGGGAGATGGATAAGCTCAGGTTTCTCCTTTCCAGTTCACCCCAGCACTCACCAACTGCTCCTTTGCTGAGTGAGCAGCACACCAAGGAGGAGCAGGTGCTGCCTGGGGGTGCAGTGACCAACTTCTCCACATTTCCAAGCTTGCATCAGAGCAGCTCAAGGAGAGCCAGTCCCGAGGAAGAGGCTACAGCACAGTGAATATTATCCTATAACAAGTAACCTGACCAGGCACACTGGCTTTCCTCAACAGAAGCCATTGCAGACTGTTGGACATAATCGGTTCTGGATATTTTTGCAGGTTCTGTTGTGACAGGACAAGGGGGGGAGTGGCTTTAAACAGAAGGAGGATGGGTTTGAGTTAGATATAAGAAAGAAGTTTTTACAATTAGGGTGATAAGGCAGTGGCAGAGGTTACCAATAGAGGTGGTAGATGCCCCATCCCTGGGAACACTCAAGATCAGGCTGGATAGGGTTCTGAGCAATCTGTTCTAGCTGACTATGTCCCTGCACATTGCAGGGCAGTTGGACTAGATGACCTTTAAAGCTCCCTTTCAACCCAAACTATTCCTTGATTCTATTATTAACCTGCAGTGCTTTTGAAAAGCCTGAACACCTCATACAAATAAATCACCTTAATAACCAACGACTGCAAGACAGTCAGACGAGAACATTTTGTTTTGGTAAACAGGGTATTGATTGTGTATCTGTGTCCTTGAGATGAACTTGACTCTTCAATAGCAGCAGGAGCCCAACAAAACAGGTTCTCCATAACTCCAAAATGGTGGATTGCCTTTGCCTGGAGTGAGCAGCACGACAGGTTTATGAAGGCAATAAAGCACCATTGATTTAGCATTGGCGGGGATTTCCCCCTCCCTAAAACACCACCTTTTCTTTGCACAGTTAACTCGAGCTGCACAGTGTGAACGTGGCTTTCAAGAGGCAAAGTTCATCTCCATGGCATGGATTTGGCAGGAATAGAAACTTTGTCCCTGTTGCATGAGCTGGCAATGGAGCTGCTGGCATAAGAGTAGGTCCCAGCAGCTCAGAGGGAAAACACTGCTCATGTCCTTTGTAACAGCATCTTCAAACCAGTGCTTGATTTTCAAGGTTTCATAGCACCATAATATTTATAATCAAGTGGAAGGGATGCCCAGTCAGAGAAAACACAATGAATCAAACATCCTCTCAGCCTTCCCTCCAAGCACTCCCCATCTCACTAATACACACGATGCGCCTTTGTTGTGCACAGCCACTGGCTCTTGGTCGGACCCAGAGCCACACAGGGGAAAGATTTTTCTCTGTTGGTGGAAGGGCTCCTGCTGCAAAGCAATTTCCCACATGAATTCAGATCTGTTGGCAATCGTCCTCCCCAAAGCAAGCGAGTTTTACAGAAGAACTACACAAAGAGCACAGCTCAGAAAGCAGGTGCCAGGAATTTGTTTGGGGGATATAAAAAGCAAAAGCCCCTCTACCCACACCAGGCAATGAGATTTAATTAGTCGCCATCTCATCTCTGGCAGGTTATTTTAATCATGCACATCCTAACCAAGGCACGGAGAGCATGTTCACTACGGATAATGAGGAGTGAGGCGCAAGGCAGAGGGTAAAGCACAAGGGAATGTCAGCGGCAATGCAGTCCCTGCATCCTTCCCCAGCCCATCACAACAGTCCCTAAAACAGACAGCACCTGGGCACACCACCACTGGACGGGGCAGCGTGTTGCCAATTCCAAGATAATATAGTTTGGTGAGTGAAAGGACGGCTTTTAAGCTATCCCAGAGATGTGCTTTGTGCTGAAAACCAGAAAGCCTAAACGGAAGGATTGTGGATGCAAAATACTTTCAAACCCTTTTGTCCTGGGGAATAGTTACAGATCACCAAATGTAACATCACATTCTCCTGAATTTCTCTGCCTTGGTGTACTTTCTTCTCTGAAAAAGACAACAGCAATTCCTGGAAACTGCCTTCTCCCTGCAGACCTATCAATACCTTGCTTCATTTACAACTACTTACAGCTTTACCAAAATAGGCAAGAAGACGGCTCCAGGGGTGTTTCATGTGAAGAAATATCATCCATAGCATTCTTATGCATCTTTTGGGCAATATAATTTCTATTTCATTTTCCTTAAGCCTAATGTCTGGTCAGATTTTGGCCAAGATAAGGAAAATATCTGGAAGAGTGGTACAGTGGGCATAAAAAAAATTCCATCTGCTGAAAAAGTCAGTTATACCCATAGTTTTAAGAAATTACCTCCAAGTGCAATGAAGTGTTTTACTCCCCCCCCCCCAGTTACTGGTGCACAATAATCTTGTCAGAAGAGTGTAAATATCTACAGGAGAGGAGCAAAGTCAAACACAGCTCTTGGCTACACAGCTCAGATCAAAAAGCTGACCCGTTTGGTTACATGCACACAGCCAGGCATGGCAGCAACGGATGGCTGCATTTTCCCTTGCCTTGTCTTGGAATGAAGGCCAGGCAACATTTAAAGGGCTAAAGGAGAATCAAGAGACCCTTGATTTCCTTTTTCTTCTTGTTCTAGGGACATGAAGGTAAAGTGATCTTACACTGTTGCTGGTTTTGCTCTTAGCCTGAGGTGCATTTCTGTCAAGCTTCACAGGACTCCTGCATCTCCTGATGCACATCTGAAGGATTTTGCTTCATTTCCAAAGCTGCACCAGAGACCCAGCTGGGGAAAAAAATCAGCCAAACTCCCCCAGAGCAGCTGAAACCAGCACAGATCTGGCAAGGTCTGTTTATTTGTTCATTTTGCGAGCTGTAATGTTGCTTACTCTCCTCCCACTCCCTCTGGGGCATCTTCCTTTGTTAAAACCAGCCACTGTTCCCTATTGAAGCATTTTAACCCCCAGTTTCCCACCGTTTCACATATCCCTCATTCAGCCAGCCCTGGGTGCTGTCCGTGTCCCTCCAGATCTCCCTTATTCCTGAAGGGAACAGCCCGGAGCATCAGCTGCTCACCAGCACCTACCTTATTTACTATTTAAATAACCCTGCAGAAAGAAAACCTTTTTTTTTTTGCCCCCCTTCCCCGGTTTGAGCAAGTGCTAATTGTTCAGACATGCAACGCACACACACAGAGGCATCATGGTGATATGATTGCAAAGCCCGGTAACGTCAGCATCCCAGAGACCCTCCTCCGACTCGGATTAGAGAGAAGAGGCTCACCAGCACAAGCAGCAGGTACTGGAGGAGGCAGCGGAGCCACTCACCAGGTAAGAGACACTTCAGCCCTCCTTCCCCAGCGCTGGCGGTCCCGTCCTGCACTTGATTGCTGTGCAACAACAAAATGCAAGAGAAGGGAAGCACTTCTCTTTGCAGAGCCTGGGGACCAGTTGCCAAACCTTTGATCTTCATGGGGGTAGGGGAGTCGGTGCTTGCTCATTCCCAGCAGAGGAATTCTTGGAAGAAAGGGTCAGGCGTTAGTGATGGATGTGGCAACTGCTACTGATGTGGAGATTCTCGCTGTGACTCGGAAGGGGATTCGCTTTCAGAGTACTTTTCTCCCTCTTCCCTGATTAATCCTGAACTTCTGAGATTTACAGGTTTGTCTGTCCATCTGTGCCAAGTTTGGTGTGCTGCCAGTGGTTTTGCACTGGGGATGGTCTTCACAGTGAATAAGATCATAGCCCACCCTTGCTTAGAGCATTACTTTGACTGCAGCTTAAGCCCCTTTAACCCTTAGTTTTGGAAATGCCCCCTGAACTATTTTTCCTCCTCCTTCTTTTGCTAGGGGACCCTGGGAGTGGGGGAATAGCAATGTCAGAAACTTCTTCATTGTTTGTGAAATCTCAGTCAATGAAGAGCCTGAACTCCGACACCAAGGCAGGCACTAATTAACAACTGCAACACTTCTGCTCCTGCACGGAAAGCAAGTGCTGTGCCAGTGGAACAGCGGCCGTCCCTCAAGTCCTCCAAAGGCTGTGAACAGCCAGACAGGAACAAAGCTCCCCCTCTGCCTCCCTGTTCCTGCCAGCCCCAGAAGAACACTCTCAGCAGACAGCTGAACTGGAGCCACTCAACTATCCCAGAAGAGAAAAGGCAAAGTTCACCATAATGCCCTCAGAAAGAAGAGTTCCTTGACTTACACAGAGAATTATAATTCTCTTGTTTCCTTGGTTCATGGAGCCTTATGTGCCTTTCAAGCACTATCCCCTCCCTCATCACTTCAAAATCTAACTTCTCCAACATGGGGGGACAGGAGGGATAAGTTAGCTGGTCCATGTTGCCTCACAACCCACCTTTGAAAATAACCTGTGTCTACATGAGATAGTGGCTGCTTCTCCTAGGGGAAAGAAAAAACCTAAAATCAAACCACAAAAAAACCTCTCAACAACGACAAAAACCCCATCCCTTCTTTCTTGCAGGCTAGCAAGGCTTTCAGTAACATCTGAGGGTGGTCTGTGACCAACAGGCATGGGAAACAGCTCTTTTTGGGATGATCTGAACAGCACCTGCAGCAAGGCAGGCAACAGCTGCTACCTGGACAGCAGCATGAGGTTCAACTTCTCCTTCCAAGAGCAGGCAGCTGATTTCTATGTTGTCCTCCCTGTGATTTACTCCGTGATCTGTGCTGTGGGGCTCACAGGCAACACTGCTGTCATCTATGTGATCCTCAAGGCCCCCAAGATGAAGACTGTGACAAACATGTTCATCCTGAACCTTGCTATAGCCGACGACTTGTTCACACTTGTCTTGCCCATTAATATTGCGGAACACCTGCTCCGCTACTGGCCCTTTGGAGAGGTCCTCTGCAAGATCATCTTGTCCATAGACCACTACAATATCTTCTCCAGCATTTATTTCCTAACAGTGATGAGCATAGACAGGTATCTAGTGGTACTGGCTACAGTCAGGTCCAAGAGGATGCCCCATCGTACGTACCGAGCAGCCAGGATTGTCAGCCTCTGCATCTGGATCCTGGTCACCATCATAGTTCTCCCTTTCATCATCTTTGCCAACGTCTACACCGATGACCTGGAGATAAAGAGTTGTGGTCTCAATTTCCCCAAGCCTGAAAGGTTTTGGTTCAAAGCCAGCAGGATCTATACCCTCATCCTTGGCTTTGCCATTCCAGTATCCACCATCTGCATCCTCTACACCATGATGCTCTACAAGCTAAGGAACATGCACTTGAACTCTAACGCTAGAGCCCTGGACAAAGCCAAGAAGAAAGTCACTATTATGGTCTTCATAGTCCTGGCTGTGTTCCTCTTCTGTTGGACCCCCTTCCACTTGGCCACCATCGTGGCTTTGACCACCGACTTGCCCCAGACCTCCGTGGTCATTGGTATATCCTACTTCATCACCAGCCTGAGCTATGCTAACTCGTGCTTGAACCCTTTCCTGTACGCTTTCCTGGACGACAGTTTTCGGAAAAGTTTCCGGAAGCTGCTGGAATGCAGAACTTCTTGAACAGTGGCTTGGGGATCACAGATCCTTGCCCTCCCAGGGCTTTGCAGGGGCAGCTTCACAGACTGAAGGGGTGGCCAATGAATGCACAATGTCCGTTCTGGCGTTTACAAAGTGTTGTGTGTGTCTGTTTATAATGCTCATCATCCACAGTTTGTCCTGCTCCCTTGCAGCTCTTATTTCCCCTCTTTGCTCCTCCCAGCTCCTCAGAGTTGCATTTCTGTATTCTTATTTTTAATTACACACCCTGAGTTATTAAGGACAGAAAACTTCCTTTCAGAGGTGCATTTCTACCACATAGTGGTCCTTTATTGCCATCTGCTGTACAGCACCGACAGGCTGCAGAGCAGTTTTCAGAATAATGCAATGCTCAGTTCTTTATTTCCATGTTATTAGGAGTGTTTCATGGGGCAGAGCTAATGAGCACTTCCAATGAAATATCAATAAAATGGACAGAGGGTGAGTATTTGGAAGAAAAAAAAGAAACCGTTCTCATGTCCATGAAACACATGTGCCTATGTGTTATAGCTTTGTTTTTGATTTTGGGGGTTGTCCATCTTCACCCCACCCCAAACTCCCTCTTTCCTGGACTGTTAACACAGGATAAATTTAGACCCCAAATTCCCTCTTTCCTGGACTGTTAACACAGGATAAATTTAGACCCCAAATTCCCTCTTTCCTGGACTGTTAACACAGGATAAATTTAAAACAAAAGGAAGATTTGTGTCTCAAAAATAGGGTTAAACAACACACCATACAAATACTATGACAAGTGTGGGAATTTGTGTTAGAAATTATTTTTAACTAATTGTTCCTGTTAAGTGTCAAATATATATTTACTTAAGAGTGATTAATGAAATAAACCTCATGGGGAAAAAGAGTCTGGTCCTTCTTTCACAAGAGAAAATTTACACTACTTGTGCCATATCTTTGCTATATATATATGTTGCATTTTACCTACTGCAAAGTAAAATAGGGTAGATTTGTAACAAAATTAAGGTGTTTATAAGCAATAAGAAAAACCTCTAGCAAGCACTGCACATAAAGTTTCTTCTTTAGCAGATAAACAGTTCGAATACTTGAACAGAACCAGGACTTAAAAAGAACAGTCTGAAGATCAGAAACACCATATTTAAAGCTTGGAAAGCTCACTCTCACACCCCTTAGCCCTGCAAAGTATATAAACTACTGGTTTTAGGAAGGCTGCCTCAGCTAAAACTTTTCTCTCAAGCTTTCTCCAAATACACAGGTAACAAGCTGGGCTCTTACCTGTCAAAATTCCACCAGGAAAGCATGGGACAGGTAAAACAAAAGAGGAGTGGGCTGCAGGTCTCAGTTTAAATGGTCTCCTGGGGCAATGAGAGAGGGTGTGGGAGGAGATCCCAGGTGAGGCTGCTCAGGGCAATTCAGTTGGGTCAGTGCCCTCAGCATCCCAACCTGATAACCCTCGATACATCGTGATGGCAATTGCCTTTTTTCCCTTTTAGAAAACTGAAAGAGATATGTTGCCTTCTCCATATTAGAGGTGTTAATTTTGGAAGAACAGTGAAGCGGAACACATTTTTCCAGGTGAAACTTCTCCAGGAATTTTGCTTTAGCACGGTTGCCACCTGCTGGCAATGGGGCTTCCCAGGTGGAAAAACCTCTCTGAGTGTAGAATATTAACTCAGATAGTGCCACCTCACACACAAGTTGCCTGGTTAGCTGAAAGGTCACTGTTCATTGGCACTAGGTCTGTAGGAAAGGCAATATAATTTATTAGGTTGAAAACCTAATATATTTCGTTAGATGGAAAGGACCTTTCGAGTGTAAGTCACCCACTTTCAGACCTGACAGTGTCATTGCTGGACCTTTCCCCACTAAATCACAAATCATGACTGTCACAGATTCACAGTGCAGCTCAGGCAGGGTCACCTAGAGCAAAGTTCCCAGAACCACGTCCAATTGGGTTTGAATGTCTCCAAGGATGGAGATGCCACAACTTCTTCAAGCAACCTGTTCCCATACTTCACCACTCTCACAGTAAATTTATTTCTTAGGCTTAAATGGAGTTTTCCATATTTCAGTTTCTGCCTCCTGTTCTGTCACCGGACATCACCGAGCAGTGTCTGGTTCCCTCTTCTCTCCATCCTTTATCAGGCACTTCCAGGCACTGCTTATATCCCCTGGGACTTCTCTCCCCAAAGATGAACAGCATATGCTTACAGCAGCATCCTGCCTTCATCCGTGATTTTCTCCATGTAGAATACATAAGACACGAGTGTCGGCTCCTCTTTGCCCTTGTAGTGTGCAAGGCTGCAAGGGGAGAAGCATTTGCATCGGCCAAGGTCTCCTGCCGTGCTCAGGAAGGGCTCTGGCTCCCAGGAGAGCCCCAAGGTGTCCGGAGTGTCAGCCAGCGGAGCGTCCAACACGCTGTATTTCAGAGCAGCGGCACTAAGCGGCACTCTCTGCTTTCAGCTCAGCATCGCAGCATCTCCCGCAGCTGCTCAGCCTCACACAGCCCGGCACTCTGCTTCTGCGGGGGGACTGGCGAAGTCGGGGTGCCCACGCCCAGGCAGACCCTCAGAGCACGGCACCCGAGGCCAGGCTGCTTCGGCTCCTTCTGGGAGAGCAGAAAAAGCCTTCGAGGAGACTCTTCCCCCACACACAGGGAAACCCTGCATGACAACTCATTCCTTTGAATTTCCTCCCGCTGCTGGGACTGGCTTGCCACACCAACCCACATTAACTGCATCTTGAAGGCTGGAAGCGGCGAAATAAACCCCATTAACAACTCACTGAATAAATTCCCTCCTAAACCAAACATCCTTCTGGGGTCTGCAGGGTCACAGGAGGCTGAATTAGGGACCCACAGGGCCCTCCTATCCTAACCCCTTCCCAGAGAGATGTTCATTGGAGCAGGGAAGTCAGTTCAGCCTCAAAGCTGGGAGAAATTTCCTTCTGGGACAGTCTGGAGTGTCTTAATGGGTGCAAAGATGAGGGACAGCCTCGCTGGTCACAGCAGGAGCTGAAGGTTTTCCGTTTACTCCAGCCCAGTCCAGTGGCACGGAGGAAAGCAGCAGGTTCCTGCCTGCCTCCTTTCCAGGAAGGAATTGGCTTCCCCGTTCTGCTGTACTCATGACCACAGACAGCCCTGAAGGACTCTGCTTCATCATCCCTGGGAGAGGGGGAACAAGTTGTTTTCCACCCCAGAACCGGAATTAGGGTTCATACAGGGTTTATATTCCCACTGCAGGCTTTAAACACAGGCGTCTGAGACAAGGGGAGAGGAGGGGGATTGGAAATGACTGTTGCTTTTTAAGTCTTCCTGCTGCAGCAATAACGGCTGTTCCGATCAATTGTCCTCATCCAAGCTGTGCTGCAGCTTGTTCTCCCCCGGAAGCTCTAATCCCCCGGGATTTAGGCAGTCTCACACTGTCTCTCTATGGCTGGTCATGATTTTGGGTGAGAAAAGAAACAATAGCCTGCTGATTGATGAAGGCCTGGCTATCAGAAGGGTCTTCAGATGAGGGGGAAAAAAAATGAAAAGAAAGATTAAAAATGGGCAAGCAAAAGCTTGGACTACAAAAGATGTGAAACGGAAAAGTCTCCAGAGGATACTGTTAAAATCAATCCAAGAAAGAGGATTTGTCCCTGTAATGTACAGCCTGACTTATCTTTAGCACTCCCCTTGTTTACTACAAGTTGCTGGGAGGTGCTGATGAGCTACTGATGCTCCCACCACAAACCCAGTGAAATGGGGACCCTCTGCCTTTACTGCTAACTCTGGGAGAAACAAGCCTGGTTTGGTGCCTTCAAAGGGTCTCAGCACTTCAAGGTTTGACATTCCCACCTGCTGCTGAAGGGAAGGGGACTTCCCAGGTTGGGTTCCTCTCATGGTGAGCCAGGAGGTCACCTGAGGACCCTCTGTGGGCTGTGGGGACACAGCACCGGCAGCCCCCTGTCCTTGCCCGAGACAGACAGTGTGGGTAAAACCCACCCACACCATCACTGCGGCCATGGCTGTGCCTGGAGCCAGTTTTCAGGTGATAAACCCTTCTTCCATGTCAACTCTGAGTCCTCCAGAGGAGCTCCAGGCTTGTCATCGTGGAGTGACAGGATGAGACAAAATGGCCTCAAGTGGAGAAGAATTTAGATTAGAGAAGATTCAGATTAGATACTAGGAAATATTTTTTCACTGAAAGGATGGTCAAGCATTGGAACAGGCTGCCCAAGGCAGTCGTGGAGTCACCATCCCTGGAAGTGTTCAAAAAAATGTGAGGATGTGTCACTTCAGGACATGGTTTAGCAGCAAACATGGTGGTGGTGCTGGGTTGATGGTTGGACCTGATGACCTTTTCCAGCCTTAATGATTCTGTTGTTCTGTGATATCAGGCATCCTCAAAAAAAACCAAACAAAAATGTTCCAAATAAATCCCTATTGAAAAGCCACATGCCATGTTGCCAAATTTCTCTCACCTCCCTCCCTTTGACTGGAAGTGAGGAAGAGGAGTTGATTTAAAGGCAAAGGCCAAGAATAGTGACAGTAAATATTGCCAAGAGTTTCTTGTTGGCATTTGTGTATGGTAAGTGAAGATGCAGAGGGAAGGATCAAAGCTCTCTGAATAGCTTTTAATTACAAGCCTCAATTGCTCTGTTTTCTCTCAGAAAAATATTACAATTATCTAACAAAGCTCTTCAAGTGGAAATAGACACCAGCCCTAAGCTTGAAGGGCTGTTCAGTGGCTGTTTTCTCTTAATAAAAAAATAATTTATGTCTAGATAAAAACCAGGCAATCCTATAAGTGCCTACAGCCAAGCCTGATGTTCCCTGGATAAACAGATGATGTGAAGCTTTCCCCAGGAGGAGGTGAATAGTCCGGAGTGCACCAAAGGCTGCTGGTGGCTCTGCTAAAGCCCCACACCTCGGGGGTGGGCAGGCATGGGGGCTCTGGGTGCTGCCACCAGCATTATTGTTCCTGTCAGGGGGAAAATAAGCTGTAGTTTGGGGTTAAGACCTTTGACAACAGGCAACTGTCCCCATCTTCAGTTTTCCTGAGAAGTGTTTTCTTCCTCTGTCTTTCCCCGGGATTTGTGTACAACTCCATCATCTCTCCTTGCTCTGATGCTTTTTCTCCTGCACAGCTCATGCCAGAAGAACAAGACACCTTGGGAGTTTCTAAGGTCCAAACCATCCACTGTGCAAGACTCAATAAACCAGCTGACTAAGGAAATCAGAGGACTAAGGATTCAGTTTCATAAACTTAACCCTCAAATGAGATCAGAAGCTGGTAATTAATAAAGTCAGATTTCAATGCAATGAAAAATCTCCCCTGAGACCCAGCCTGCTGCTGCTCAGTATTGATGGAATTCCTACAGATGTAATTACATTTTCCTTATCTGTGTGATGGAGTCAGTGGGATCCTCCAAGCCACGGTCACGCTCAGCTGAGCTCCTTCATCCAAGCTGGGGCCATGAAGCTGACAGCCCCCATTTCATGGTAGATGGGGCAGGTCAGAGCCAACAGCTCATAGAATTATGGAATCAGAATCTGATTTGGGTTGGAAGGGACCTTAAAGATCATCCAGT